TGAATATTTTATTGAAAAATATTTCAAATCCTTATGTATGAACCAAAATCAACGTTTACGAATTACCTTAAAAATGAAGTTTGTGAGTTTTATTTGAATATTTTTTTTTTTTATTCAAGGAGTATAAATAAGGGAATGAAAGTCAAAATGAAAACTGAGTATGAAAAAGCATTTGCGTTACTGGTTGCAACTTCATTTTTACAAAGCGSTCAGAATATCATACTTATTTATTACAGCAGTACCTAACCAGCAACTTTCGTRACTTACCGATGGTCCGAAGGATGTCAGAAAGCTCGGCGCTTGTATGTCTGCCGCATACAAATCCTCCAACGGCACATCGCGCAAGCAATCGACTATCTGCTCGTGGTGTTTATTCAAATCCTCCGGTATCGAACAGTTCACCTCCTTGGCCAGCTTGATGGCAAATGACACGGGATCCTCAACCAGCGCCCACGACGAGTACGCCGAACCGGACATGAGTATGGCGCGATGGAAGAGACCACGCACCATGGTCGGCGAGGTCATGAGGAAGTTGATACATGCGGCGCCAGTGCCATGCCCCGCCAAGGTGACCGTATTCGGGTCGCCACCGAATTTCTGTATATTCTGCTGTATCCAATGCAGCGCGGCCATTTGATCCATGAGCCCGTAATTAGCAACACGCGCGTGTGCCTGCGGATTCGGGTTGGCGTTCAGGAAGCCTGCGGCGCGTTAGCAAAAACAAAGAGAAGAGAAACATTCAAGAAAAGATGTGTAATGAATTTTGTACGTTGAAGCATAAAGAGTAACAACACAACAACAACAAAAATCAACATAAATTATAGYTATTGTGCTGTAGTTGTTTTTGTCSTTGCCGCGTTGTTGCGTTGCTGCTTTTGTGGCAATTTAACTTAACACGCCGGCACTTTATTAGCGCCATATATTTTCCGCCAGCTAAGCTAGATTATTTTAGTCTGTTGCCACACACGCACACACCGTTTTTGGAGCTTGGTGCTTTTGTTTCGAGCGCGCAACTCGGAAGCGTCAGTGCATGCCCGCTTTTAGTGCTGTTAGTAGCTAAGTTGAAGCGCTTCCTTGTGCTCATGTACTCACCGAGAATTCCTAAGCGGTAATTAAGCGTTACAACGACCACTTCGCCGTAGCTCGCCAACACGCTGCCGTCGTAAGGATTTCCGCTGCTCCACTCGAACGATTCGCCGTGTATGAACACAATTACGGGCAATTTCTTTTCGTTGGCGCCCGCTGCAGTACCCCCATCCAATGTTGTGTGCCAATTCGAAAGAGAGAAATGTGAGAATATTAAAAAAAATAAAAAAATAGGAAAAATACTAGAGCAACTAAAATATATGTACATAAATATATATAGCTATATAAAAGTGTGTGTGGGTGCGTGTGGCTCTAAGCTGTCGGTAGTGTGTCGTTAGTTGGCGCATAGATAACGGTGTTGCTGGCAATGTGTGCCACAGTTAGCTACAGGTAAAATGTGGAATTAGAGAAAAATATTCTATATATATATAAATATATACTCGCTGTAAAATTAGAAAATAAAAATTCAAGAGCAAATACAGTTAAACGCTTTAAGCGCCATTTAATGTTTCCGCTTGCGATGAAGTTGCTTGTTCTTATAGCCGCTTCGAGGCGCTTAACAACCTCCGTACAATCTATTTACGTGCACGTTGTTGCCATTGTTTTATTCGTGCCACGTAGCAGCATGAATTTGAAAGTGGAAAAATAAACAGCCGGAGAAATGCAAAGAAACGAGCGAGGTAAAGCTTCGTGCTGCGGCCAAGCTCAGAATGTGTTTGTTGGTGTATTTATGCGCTTAATTTCTGTTGCTTTGCCCGCCGGATGTGGCCCGTCCATCCGCTGTACAACGCTTAGTCTATGTAGTCTAAGCATTTAATGCTTAAGCGCCTTTTTTTCACGCTCATTTCAAGGTATTTACTTTCTATKCTACTTCCTACACCTCACACTCATTTCTTTAGATCTTTTGTTTTTAATTTTGTTGTGTTAATGCTTAGTTGAGTTTTATTATGCATTCTGTTGCGTTGGCGTTAGGTGGGCTCCAGAATCCCCGGTAAACTTTGGCTTTGAATGAGCTTTGAATGTGTTTAAGAGTAAAACCGGAAATCCACCCCCCTTAAGAACAATGGCTATGTACGTAATCTGCCTAATAATGTATGAACCAAACATATTGTTGGATTATACAACAAAAAGAACAAATAAATCTAASATCACCTCTTTTACTAATTAATTATTTATTGGGAGTTCAAATGAACAAAAATAGTTCAAACAAACAGCTGCATATACGCAAAATATAACAGCATCAAGCTTGTGAATGAATGAGAAAAGAGGCAGCAGCTTGCTACAATATRTTTAGAAAAGCTTGGAATAGTTAAATATCAGTAGATAAGCGTTTAAAGTGGAAATTGAGGCCTGATSAGAACCGAATCGCTGGAAAATGGAAAGCCGATGAGGTAGCTAACGAAGAGGCGGTTCGATCTCCGTTGCCATCTTGCGTTCAAGCACTGAACGTATGGATTCCGCGTGCGCTTAGCAGCAGTTGTTAGAGAACGCGTTTTTGTGTGACTGCAAGTTCCGTCTGTCCTAGAGTAGAGCTCTAGAGATCCACTGAACCTGTGCGGCTCTGGAATACAAGAAATTCTCGTTATAAAATATGTGCTCTTAGCAAGGTTCGAATCGCCGCTATGGTAGGCTGGACAGTGAGGGAGGAAGTATCTAGATGTTTCGAACCATCTTCCTAACTGCAACTTAGACAAGTTGCTTCCTCTAAAATCTGCGCCAGAAGACTTTCGCGACCCCACAACTGCTGGTTGGTGGTCAACGCTTACTGAGCTCGAGATCCATAGATCCAGCGTCCAAGTGCGCCGCGACGTTATTACGCCTGTCTATTCCCATCCTAATTTATTTATTTAAGTATAGGTATCTCTTCTTGCAAGCTCATCGGCTTACCAATTCACCAATTCACCAAATCATTAATTTCTCTATTTTTTCTCAGCAGTAAAACTCCACTTCTATGCGCAGCAGAGCAGCAATGAGATCGAAAGCAAGCGAGAAAAGCACAAACAAAAAGCGCTTCTGAAAACAGCTTCTTACTAAATAAAAACAATGCAGCAAACGAATGTGCGATATCACAAAATGCGCTCACAAGAAATGTGAGAGTACTTAGACAACGTTTTGATATTGCAACACACTCCGTGAAAGATGGCAAAGTGCACTTTAGCCCACAAATTTGCATGTGGCAAGCATGAAGTATTTGAGCACCGAAACCGTTAAATGTTGCTGAGAAAGCAAATAACTGTGCCTTGAAATGGCGCTCGTTATTTGCATGCAACACATTGTGGAAACGCCAACTTTTGCGGTTGTTTATGTATGCCCTTAAATGAAGCTAACGCTGTAAGTCGATTAAGTTGTTGCGTGCTGCATAATAAATGCCATCCACGCACGGATCTCAAACCACACAACACTCTTGCAACGTCATGTGGCAYTGGCACGAATGTAARCATATTTCACCAAAAATATTTGCCWYTTACGTAACAAATATGATGTTAGGATATAAATGTGAGCAATTAGAGAACGAAATGCTAGACGATGCGCTGAAGAAAAGCGTAAGCGTCATTGTGCTTAGACGATACACTTACGCTTACAATTATGCAACCTGAMGCAACACAATACGAATTTATGTTCAGAAAGGGCAGCAACCACGTTTTTAAGCGATTTTCAATGAAAAAGTGCTAACGGACGTATTAGGATATGRAATGTCTAGGAATATCTAAGAGTTTCGCATTTCAGGGGAATAGATCAGGTGTCAATATTAGACTTAACGAGAAAATATACATTAAATCATGTTTAAAATACACAACAGCGCAGATTAAACTGAACTCCTATCTGACKTTAGCAAGTACGAGTAGGTGTATGGCGTGAAAGCGGGTCAGTATAATCTAACCTACTCAATTCATCGCTACAATCTCCGAATAGCGCATAGCTGCCATTTAAACTGAACAATCAAAATTACCACGAACGGCTTACATAAGGAAGTCGCTTTGTTTCTAATTAATTAAATTTTTTTTATATTTTTTTTTACTATATTATCAAAACAATTTAAAAAAACTATAAATTTAACTGATATGAATACAACATGGTTTTAATATAATTAATCCCACATTTGTGCGCAATTAAATTTTAATTATTTTGTATTTAATTGGGTGAAAGCAAATACCAAAGGAAAGTAATGAGCGCGTCAATTGTGGTTGTGTTGACAAAAGAGGCGCTGGTACTCATACTTTTATGAGCTAGTGTTGCCTACTAAAGACATGTAGAAAAATAAAATTCCAGACCCTAAATCAAGAATCAAGTTTTTGTTGTACGTACAAATTACTAACGTTTTTTACGAATATTTTTGCGAAAAAATACAAAAAATATCAATGAATGATTTCCATGAACTCCACACATTCTATGCCTTCACGATTTTAACGGTAAATGCTACTTAATTTGAAAAAAGAAAAATGAGGAGTCAAAAGGGAGAAAATATGGTAATCTGGCCTGTTTTTTTTACATTTTTTTCATAGCAATTTTTATTCTACAATAGAACTTCTTTCACTTATCATGCGATGTAATGTGGAGTGTATAAATACATTTTTTCGGAATTTTTTGATGACATGTTGTTATTTTTTACATAAATTCTGTCATAATATTGTCAATAAA